AAAAAAAAAAAAAGTGTAGCATTAATAAGCATGCATACCTGCGGCTTTTTATTTATCCTCATGGCTGGTTCTTTTCCAGAGTCACAAGCTTAGCAGGGAGTGACAATGATCACTGATAATCTTATATTCTTATAAGATTACCTCTTTAGATTCTTCACCGTTTTTTATTACACAGTGCCAAAGGGTGTAACAGTAGTTAACGGAGCATTGTGGGGTCATGCCTGCTGCCTACTTGTTCAACATGCAAAATGTTGGCTGAAAAACACAGATCTTCCCGATGAGGTGGAAACAGTGCTAAGGTTAGCTATTGTAATGGAGGAGGAAGACGAACTCCAAATGAGGAGGGCTTAGCTTAGCAAAGGTGTGGGCTCAGCCCCAGGCAGGGATGGTGCAGCACCAGGGATAGCAACAACTAGGGCCGATAATTGCTGCTAGGGCTGAAGAGGGTGCAGTTGCTGCAGTTGGGGAGGAGGGAGAAGGAGAGACAGGCAGAGAGAGAAGGAGGAGCACTGTCTGTCAGGAAGAGTTTGGGCCTTTGTTTGAGGGATGGAGCCAGCATAGGAAGAGGCAACAGAGAGAAATCCAGCTTCCAAGCCTTCCCTTCTTCCCATCAACTGCCGGCTGAGTTTTCTGTCAGCTGAGCACCAGGTGAAGCCCACTGATGTGGTCTGTGCAGAGCAGGCCCTGGGGCACATAGCAGCATGGAGAGCTGGAGCAAGTGTGGAGGAGTGAGGAGATGTCCAGCACAGTTAGACATCACAAAATGAGGTGGGGCTTTAATGCTGGGGGAAAGAGCCCTTCACAAGGGGCAAATCCAACTCTGAGTCCCCCACAGGGCTTGGTTTTTTGTTTTTAAGGCAAGCATGAAACAAACTTTATTAAGGAAGATAAAGGTAAGCTTACAGAGTAAGAAAGAGTACCAAGCGGGATCCACCCCTCACAGACAGCGAGCAGGCCTCCACGGCGGGGCAAGTGGATGACAAGGCCGTGTGCTTTAGTTATTCGGCTACATAAAGACTTCCCGTGTTCTGGGTTCAAGTACAGGTTGATGTTTAGTCAAAGTATGTGAGGAAGTACTCAAAACATAAGTGAGCAAGTGCGACTATCTTCCAGTAAAACATGTTTATTCTTTGTTTTTAATTTATCACTAGGTATCTACCCACTGAAACTTTTTCCATATAAGGAAACAGAGTCCCACATTCTTGGGATTAGGGATTAGGACGTGGGCATCTCTGGGTGCCATTGTTCTGCCTCTCACAGGGCCATTCACAGAAGGTACTTTTGTTCTATTGCAGAGTCTTTCTCTTTAAAGGGCCTGATCACAAATTTTTAGCCTTTTGGGGCCATGTGGGTTTTGGTGCAACTCTCTACTCTGCTGCTGTAGTGCAAAAGTAGCCGATCTTTATACAAATGGGTGGGAGGCTGGATCTGGCCCCTGACTATAATGTTCTGACTCTTCTTCTATTAGATTTGCCAAGCATTGTCTGAAAACTTCTCGTCTGGCCTGCGCTTAGCCAGTCTGATGCTGAAGGATGAACTAAGAGGTGTTCTTGGCCCCGGGGTGTGTGTTGCAGTCTGGGGGGGACAGATAGATGCATGTAAACAGAAACCCCTGAGGGTGAGAGGTCATTGAGTGTGGGGGCCAAGGAACAGCAGATGTATCTCTCAGAGAAAGCAGCCAGGTCTTCCAAGGAAGAAAATGCCCACATTCCAGCAGAAAATAAAGTTGTGAGGTCCCAGCTTGAGGACCCAGGATTAAAATGATGTCTTAGGGATCTGAGAATTTGCGGTTTGGCTGTCTGCACTCACACACTGTGTATGAGTCTGGGATTCAAAGCTGCAGGACTTTAGACAAGGCTGTCAAGTTTCTGATCTCCAAAATGGAGACACATGAAACGGGCAAGTGAAATAGTGCACACAGCTTATTTGTTGAATGAAGGGATGATCTCTAAAGAATGGCTACCATTATAATTAGTCTCAGAGTTTCCCACAATGCCCTGTGAAGCTTCCCTGCCCCATGTCTGATTTGCTAGCACTCACAGGAAACATAAAGCAAATGGCTTGCTTGTCAGCAGTAACGATGCTGTTAATAATAGCAGCCGCAGTTGTTCTGAAACAAGAGCAGTGGTGATGATTGCTGCCATTTAATTAGCACTATCTATTTGCCAGGAACCATGCTGAGATCTTTACAAGGGTCATGTCGCTCACCCTGCTCCACAACTCAGGAGTCAGGGCCACGTTTTGTGAAAAGGACAGGTGGCTCAGAGACAGCAAGTGACTTCCCTAAGAACACACAGTGGCCGAGGTCAGAAGTGGGGCTCAAAGCCATCTGTCTAATGTGGACACCATGTTCTCCAGCTCCCAGCAGATAACAGATCCTTTCTTGTACCTCTTTCTAGTGTCCAGACAGCAGTGGATTGTGGCAGTGGTGGCAGAAAAGAGATGTAAGTTAACCCCAAGAAGAACTGAGCGGCTTGCAAGGATGAACTCTTGTTCTCTGTGTCCAGTTTAAAAGGGAGCTTCCTCGCCCCCTTTTGGAGAATTATCAGTAACTCCCACAAGAACCCTGTCTCTGTGTTTGTAGCATATAAAGTAGGGGCATATTATTGAACTACCCAGCTCCTTTTAGGAAGAAGCCCGTGCTCCACCAGGACACTGTCCTCAGACCCTTCCATGACTCTCCATGGCTCCAGAACAGACTTTTCCCTCTGACATTTGTGTCCTGCCATTGTGACCCTCACTTCTCTCTCCAACTGTGATTATTGCTGCTTTCCTTGTTGGTTGTGGGCTGGTCTTAGAACTTCCAAGCTTGTGTGTGCACCTACAACTCCCTTCTTCAGTGCCCGTGTGGCCAAGCCCTGGCCTTCAAAGAAGATGCCACTCGGCCTCCACTGCCTGATGCCTTCCCTTGGGCCTCCCAGAGGCAAAGCGAAGCTCTTTCCTATAACTCCCTGTCCTTCCCTGTGGTATTAATAGTTTCTCCTGTATTTTATAGCTGTTTATACACGGGAATCTTGAGGACATGATCAATGTTAAGTTCATGTGTATAATTCACCTCTCCTGACGGCTGGCACACATACAGTGTCCTATAAGCAAACCAAACTATGTATACATATACACACACACCTACGGATAGATACATACACGCACACGTGCACACGTATATATCATCATACTGAGTGAGTATACCCATCAGAAATTAATCATTGAGTGCCCATCTGGGCTTCCCCTTCTCTCCCTATGATGCTTTCAGGGAGTAAAGTCCCCACTTACAAAGACATTGCAGCTAAGGTAAAAAAGGAGTTAAGACCTTTACCCTTGACATAATTCATGAATGTACTTTTTGCTTTAAAATTCAATGCCAAGTTTTACCCCCAAACTGGAGAGGCCCGAACATCGACATTGGAGTCCATATCTCCCCAGTGAAGGGTGCAGTGGCTGATGGATGGCAGGGACATTGGAATAAAAAAGAATAAGGTTTGCATCTCAACTTCACCCCTGACCAGCGGGTGACCTCATCCACGACCCCAGTTGGCCTCTCCAAATGCTGGTACTCCCATCTGTACAATGGAGGCAGCACGGGCTCCCACTTCTCGGGAATGATAAGTGGAGTTAACCATGCTTAGCACTCGGTGGCACAATGGCTAGGCCTTATGCGGTGGGTGGATTTTTTTTTTTTTTTTTTTTGAGAGAGAGAGTCTCACTTTCTTGCCTCTCGTACATTGCTGTGGCCTCATAGCTCACAGCAACCTCAAATTCATGGGCTCAAGCAATCCTCTTGTCTCAGCCTCCTGAGTAGCTCAGACTGCAGTTGTGCACCAACATGCCCAGCTAGTTTTTCTATTTTTCAGTAGAGATGGGGTCTCACTCTTGATCAGGCTGTCTCAAAATCCTGAACTCAAGCAATCCACCCACCTCAACCTCCCAGAGTTCTAGGATTACAAGTGCGAGCCACCTCTCTTGGCACGGGATGAATATTGAATGGCCGTTACTGTTACTGTCACCGTGTCGACAGTGTCCTGTGTTCTGGTTCTAGGGATAATGTCTCCGTCCTCAGCTCCCAGGCAGAGGGCAGTCTGCAGTCCTGGAGGAGCTGTACTCTGTCACTGGCCACAGATCCTGTGAAGAGCCCCTCTCGACAGTCAATCACCAGCAGTCACATCCTCAGCCCCAGGTAACAGGCTCTTTCTGCTTCCTTGGTTTGGGGGAAGGGGCAATAGTTTGGAGAATCTCAGAATTTTCAGGTTGTTATACAAGTCTTTGATTTTCTGTGGGCTAGGCAAGAGACAAGTGTGGTCCTGACAGTTTGAGGTATAATCCTGCTTCTTCTAGCACTGTGATGTTAGGCCAGTCACTTATCCTCTCTGGGTCTCCACTTCGTCTTCAAAACATGGAATATAATTATATTTACTCACCCAAATAGTGAAAGGATGAGGATCTAATACCGTCCTCCCAAAGCTTAATTTTCGAGATGATTTTAAGTAGCACAGGGTGAACATTTTAAAACATAGTTATTTTCTCTGCTTACTATTTAAGGCAAGTCAAACTAATTTTCCATTTATGGATACTTAGAGATTTAAAATTTTCTTTATAAATACATTCACTGAATTTTTTAAATTTCAGATTAATATGAGGGTTATGTATTCAATCTTGATTTGAGGACAATTAATGACAATGACATGGTGGGGGTTGGGGAAAGCAGAGAGAGAGAGAGAAGGAGGGCAGGGGTGGGGTCTCAGTGTGTGACACATCTTGTACCCTTAATGAATCCCCAACAATAAAAAATATATATATAGGAAGTTTAATCATTTGTAATGTGAGATATTAAGTTGTTTTTAAAGTCGTGAATCATTATAAAGAAAGCTACACTGGATGGTTTGTCATTTGGAGATTTTAGTTCTATTTGCTTTTTAATCAGTATGTGATTTTGTAGTTTCCCTCCTGAAAAGGGGGATAAATTCCATCACAGCCTGAGATGGGCCCCTCTCAAGGCTACAGGACGGGCAGCTATGGGCTGCCCTAACAAACAGGCCTCGGGATTGATCTTAGTTGTATGACTTAAATCCATCTTCCCTCTTGCGTTTCGGCTCCATGTCTCTGAGCTCACTTGGTTTTCTTTTTTGAGGGTGGCCCTTTTGTACTTAGGAGTTAATGGTCATAAATCAGAAATTACAGATTAAGCAGATGCATAATTAAGATGAAATGCACACTGCCTGTGTGATAACAGAAGGACCCATGTGGTAAGACAGAAAGGAAAACCACAGCCTCATGGAGCAAACCCAGACAACCCTTTCCTGACTTGAAACGTGTTTGCTCTGAAGCAGAGGTTGCCTCTGCAGGAAGAAGGGGGCGGGAGTCAGGCTAACCTTTCGGGCACATTCGGCAAATGGCAAATGTCTGGCGCGTGTCTGCAGATAATCTTAGCCTGGGAGATTTGATGTTGAAAATATCAAACGGAGGCTCCAGGAATGGGGTGCATCTGGGGAGTTAATTAAAGCAAGATTATCTGATTGCTGCTCTTAATTAAAAACAAAGGTCTGCATGAAGAAAGAATCACGTCCTCAGTGAACCCCAAATGACGGGGACTTTTTCTCCTCATGATAACTAAATATCTTTGTTTTTGCTTGCCTGCCAGTGGCAGCAACAGAACTGGAGTGGCCAGAGCAGAATGTGAATGCTCCTTAACATAACCCCTGAGTTTCAGAGTTAAAATTATGGCAGGGTGCACGATAAGGATCCTCAACTGAACAAATGGTACCCTGTGTTGTGTGGCACCTGTCTGAATGGGAGAGGAGAGGTTGTTTCAGCACATGATCTGAAGTCGGGGCATCTGGGTTCCAAACCATTATTCATCTATCTTGGAGCTGGAGATTTGGGGCAAGTGGCTTAACTTCTTTGTTGGTGTTTCCTCATGAGTAAATCAGAGTTGCCGTCAGGGGTGATGTGTTGGCGTACAAGTCATTCTTCATTCAGAATCTGGCCCCAGAGGAAGCTCAAAAACATAAACTGCTTCATGAATATTAGTATCTATTTGATGCCTAGAGGAACCCCAGGAACAGATATCAACATCCACGTGTTACAGAAGAGAGAACTGAGACCCAAGAAAGGGAAGCAATTTATCCGTCATAGATGGTCTCACCCCAGTTCCTGCAGCTGCTTTCAGGCAGGATTGGGCCCCTCCGGGTTCTTGTCCTGCTTTCTCGGCCCTCTCCCCTTCCACGTCCTTGGGCATGTCCCCAGCTATAGTTCAGAGTTGAAGTCCCTGCACCAAAGACAGCGAAGGGGCGGAAGGTGAGCCAGATACTGGGACACATTTATAAGAAGGGACTCCTTGTCAGTCTGCTTCGTGACTGTGGTCCTCCATTCGCTGTGCTCAATAAATGTTTGTTGAGTGAATAACTGACCGTAGCACCAAAATTAGAGCAGAAATATTAACTGTATTTAGTTGCAGCTCCACACTGACTGTGCCTCAGAGAAGGTTAGTAATTCATTCAATGTCACACAGCAGGTAAGTGGAAGAACAGGGATTTGAACCCCTTCAGAGCCTCTCTTGGTTTTGGCCATATTGCCCTGGCTCTCTGATGTTTATCTAGAGGGTAGATCACGCACTTGGCAAAGTTTACTGGCAAAAATCTGACCTGTTTATTCACATTAACACTGCCTAAAGATTATTATTCAATATTCAGCCAAAAGATATTTAGTAAGTGCCTACTGAATACCAAATCCCAAGGCATTAGGACCAGAAAATCTTGAAGCCCTTCTTTTGAAGATGTCTATAATTTGAAGACTCTAGACATTCTGAGTTGGAAAGAACCACTGGGATTATCTAGTATGACTTGCAGATCGGGAAAATTGAGGTCTGCAGAGGCAAATATTTTACCCAAATTTACAGCAGAAAGCTCAAGGCCTTTTTTTTTCATGGCCCAACCAATCTGTGACCATTTCTCCTCTTCAAGAACTTAAAATATTACAGAAGGCTAAGCTCCTCTGGTCACTACCGCAGTCTTAGCTTCCTTCCCAAACCGATCCATCATCCTGTTTGGTTTATAGCCTTCCATGTCTTTCTCTCTAACTATCATAAACATATATACATACTCGTAGCAAATATATTGCATATTTGTGGACTTTTAAAAACATAAATGTACAAAACTATATTATGTACATTATGCCACTCATAAATTCTTACAACATGCCTCTTCCCCCTAACAATGTCCCTTGGAGATCGTCCCCTACCAGGCCCATAAGTCTGTCTCATATTTTATAGTCCCCGTGAAAGGCGCCATGCTTTATTTACCTATCGTGTTCTTCTTTCCCTTTTAAATGCTTTCTGGATATTCACCGTTGACATACCAGACTTCAAAAAACATACATCTATATCCGCATGGGTAAATAATTCTCTGAGTCAAAGGACATTTGTGTTTTAAATTGGAACAGGTATTACCAAATCCTCCCAGTGTCCCTTCTGCGAAGAGGCTCTGTCTAATGGCACAAGACAGGACTCTCTCTTGCCTACCTGTCCCCATAATGCCTGGCACATGGCAAGGCCCAATAAGTGAGCTTCTTGGGTATTTCCAATTTGCCTGTGAAAGGTCACGCTTAAAACAGAAGAGAGGGAGAGAGCGGCCGTCAGCCAACAAAATAAAAGCTGTCCCCATATTATTTATAAGGGGACGTCAACTCAAGAGAAATATACCTAAAGCGTTATGATTTACAGCCCAGGAATCGTGCCGCAGCTGCTGATAAACGCAAGCGCCGCTGCAGACGGAGACACTAAATTACCTCTGTGGCCCCCAGAGAGGGAGTGCGCGGGCTTAGTGGAGGCAGTCACACTCGGTTCAGGAGTCTCTCTCAACATCCAGTCGCAGGGGTGCCAGGGCAATCTGGGGGGGCTGGTGTGCTCACCTAGCCTTGTGCCTGGCCTCTCCTTCCCACCCTCCAGGGCCACTGCCCTGTGGCGCAGGCCACCGAGCTCCCCTGGCTTTCTTCTTGTCTTTACAGCACAGCAGGCTTCCCCAGCCGGGTCCAGGCTCCATTTCACTGGAGGCCCAAAAGAGCTCCAGTCATGGCTGCCCACCCAGCCGCGCAGGGTCCCCATGCGTCAGGCCTTGCTGGCCTCAGCTGTACAGACTGCTGGTGTCTGGCGTGGCCACTGCTCTCATTGTACTGGGCAACTAGTCCAAACCATGCTGACCTTCCTTCAGCCCCTCTTCCTCACCCTCAGAGAGCAGCTCACCTCCTGTTTCATTCAATGAAAATTAAACAAGGCTTCACCTTCTGCTGCGATGTTTCTAAATTTATTTGTGTCTGGCTCCATGTTCCTTCTGGTCTAAGAAGGTAAGGTCTGGTCCTGTCCTATCTGAGGCTGATCCACATTCGTCCCCTCTTTCCTCTGCAAACACTCCGATCCATCCAGAGTCCCCTTGCTCTCCTGTTCCTCAACTCCCTCATCCCAGCCCTCCCTGCACAGCTGACAAACATTTTGCCATCTCCCGCATGCTGACTGTGTCCTCACCCATCACCTTGCTGCTCTTTTGAGTTATCACCTTACTTCCATTTAAATCCAAGTTTTTAAAACTCATCTGCATGTACCATCTTCACTTACAGCGTGTGCACCTCTGTTTACTACGGCCTAGAGCCAGCCCCCAGCACTCCACTGAAACATTTTTCACCATATCAGCAGCTTCCGAAGAGACAAATCAGGGGATGTTCTCTAATCTTTATCTTTCTGGGGGCTTTCCCTCTGGCTGCTCTTGAACACTTTTTAGAGCTCTCTGTTCACTTAGCCCTGACGATATTTCTGCTTCTTGGTGCTGCTGAAACTTCTCCCTATACCCTCAATGCTGGGGTTTATAGGGTGCTGCTCTTACCTGGCTGTTTCTCTCTCCACCTGGCTGCAGCCAACTCTCTTCTCATGAGTTTGACTCCCAGCTATAAGCAGGTGACACTCAAATCGCCATTGCTAGCTCTTACATTCTCCCAAGTTTGAAACCTATATGTTTTGCCTAATTATCTACATTGACCACCAGCTGGATGCCCCCCCTGCTGTCTCATCTCAGCATATCCGAGGGGAAGTTCGTGCCTCCCCATCCATCCTGTGTTCTCAGGCTCTCTGGGTGGTTCTGTCACACATAAAGCCACCCACACTGGAGCCCATGAGTCATCTTGGGCTATCAT